CCATTTGCAAATAATACTGCCTTTATCATCACTTCTGTAGTCAAACGCATTTCTTTTTTTTTTCTTCATAATTTCATCTGAATCAAATGGAGGTTTATCAATTCGATCTTTTCTCACAGTTCCTGTCGCATGATGGCCGATTGATGTGATGCTCCTCTGTTAGTGCCTCAACAAATTGAAGTACCGCCGATGCACCGACACCATATTCTTGAAATTGTTGAAACCCTGATTTGGTTGGAACCAACAGATGTATCCTAGTGGTGTTGCACCACACAAAAATTTGAAACCAAATCGAATAGGTTTGCCTCGAATAAATTGTTTACACCCTTAACGATCAAAGTAGGAAACCATAGACTCATCAAAACTAAAGTTTGTTTCCATTGGAGTAAATTTCAAACATTTCTTATTTAGTTAAGAAATTAGAGGTCGTATTTTTGCAAATTTGTCTTCCTGGCCTAAGTTTGCATTATAAGAAATACGCAAGTTTGTAAAAATTAATTAAAATCGATCACGCCTCATGGCACTACTGATCATTTTATTATGGGTATTAGGTCTTTGCTCCCAAAACATTCTTCGTCTTGACATAGCCACTTAAAATAATTATGCTTAAAAAGCATTTGAGCTCTGAATTACTTAAGCCAAGAGTTAATCCATTTCCAGAAGCGTACAAATTTGTATGCCACAATCATTTCCACAACTTTGTTATCGAAAAATTTCTACAACTTTGTCATCGAGTTTTTGCTGTTATCTGTTGAGGTGGTCCTAGCAAACATCAAACAGGCGGACCGACAACGACCGCTGTCAGCACTTATGCCGTGCCGACGTCGGCCGCCCGCTGCGTTCCCGCGTTGGCTTGCACATCGTATTTACATCGGCCCATTAGCGGAAAACTGATGGCGGTTCGAAGGCGGACTGATGGCGGCAAATCCACAACGTTTGAACAACGGTCCGTCAGCGGCTAACCGATGATAAAGCCATAGCGGAATTGCTTAGGATCTATAATAAGTTTTGACTAAAATTTGAATGCATTGATATACATATAATTATTTTTGTATTTTTTATGAATAGAACCACTCGTTCGCAAAATTTTTTATATCATTCAGCTCAATTTTTACTCATAAAAAATGCAAATCCTGCTAATGCCTGGAAGGCACATGAAAACCTTTTGACTTTTGACAAAAAGCACTACCCCAACTGTAAATCATTAGGTCATACATGCCAAGGCTTAAGCTCGGTGAACAAAAAGACTAATCAGAATTTATAATAAAAATCATTTTAAGATTGCAATTTACTTTTAGATTAAAACAGAATATAAAATATATATTTGCATCTATAGATTATTGCTTCACATGCGTTTAGCAAACGTTTAAATATAAATTAGTTTATTTTGAACATATTTATAAGTTCAATTTATTCTCATTTCAATCGAAAACTAAATATATTCAGAAAACCATGTGTTGAAAATCGATTAACGTTGCAGTCTGCGGACTTCTAACTTTCACATTAAAGCAGGTAATGATATATAATAAAAATATTGAATCAGTCAAGTTTAGAGCTGTTACAACAAAGATAATAAACTAACCTTCTCAGCCTTTAAAAACATTTTCGTTTGAAATAGTCTGATCACCAGTTATTAACGAATAACACCAGATACTAAGTGTATCTACATTAAATTAATATAAATTTAACTTTACTATTTAAGCATAATTTAAAACGTAAAAACAACAAAAACATTGCTTAATTTGAAAAGCTATGGAAATAACTTTAAAAAAAAACTATATAAAATCAAATTCATATTGCGCGCCTTTTTTTAAAAATAAAACTTCATATACATTAACCTTAAATACTCTACCTGGTATACCTAATCCTATAAATATTCTTGAGGGGTTTAGGAACAATAACAAAAAATTGTTAGCTTATTAAAAAAATTATCTTAAATTTTAATTTTAAGTTAACAAATAAAATAGTATTTAAAAATGAGATACTTATATGCCAGGTTGGAAGTAAAGCTGTAAAACCCAGAGTAACTTAGGGGCAGTGGTGAACCTTTTGCAAACCATAAGTCTAAGGGTGAAATGCAAGAAACGATCTTCAGTCAAGCTCGACTTGAACTTTACATTGCAACCAATAGCGACAGAGTATGGGTTTTCCCCTCAAAAAAATACTCTGCCGCTATTGGTTACAAAGTAAAGTTCAAGTTGAACTTGACTCAAGTTTGCTTCTTGCATTCCACCCTAAGACACAAGTGCACATCTGAAAAAGAAAGAATCAGAGACAGAAAAAAAATAAAATTATAGTTTAATAAACTAAAATATTGTTTGCAAATTGAACAAAGTTTTCACCATACAAAAAAAATCATAGCACGATATAATATACTACAAAACTAAAAAAATATAAAAACTCAAATAACTGATTGAAATAAAATGGTTTAGTAAATAAGTATATAATTTTTTTAAATAAATTATTAGTAAGCATATAAAGAACAAACAAATATGTTTAAAGAAAATATGACTTAAACCCAGTTTGCAAATCAAACAACTATCTTATACCCATGGAAATATTTGGATCATGGTCAACATAATTCTATGAAATATAACTCTGGTCAAGGTAAAAGGTTTCCTGTAAAGAAATAACACTAAATCATAAATGTAACATTAAATTTCAAGCATGTTTGAACGCAATCGTTAAAGCAACCCTTTAAAATAATGACTTGTAAAATATAAATTTTGTTAGATTTTTATTCATCTATTAAGTAGCATCAAGTTAATTTTGCTTTCCATCAAAACTTCATATTTTAAAGTTTATAATTATATTTTAATATAATCAAGCTTAAATCAAACAGTAGACAGACTCCAGACTTATATTTTGGATTTCAATTAAAAATAACATTAAAACAAATAATAATAAAATTAATCATATTTTATTCACTGGTAACATTAAATATCATGATTTAAATTCTCATCTACAAACTCATATACAAGAGGTTACTGTAAAAGGGAATGAATATGAAAAACATGGAAACAGTAATACTCATTGCCCAAAAATTTACTCCAGTGAGTTTAAAAGTTAAAATACTTAAAAATATACTAAAAATTGTAAAATAAAGATAACAAATTTTAAAGTAAAGATGTTTATTTTTTTTAACAATGTTATTCATACTCTGAACTAAAAAATGCCTCTTTATTTAATGGCATTGGAAAACATGATGTAGGCATCACTTTTTTCTTGGCCTGTTTGTTTTTTTGGTCTTGTCTAACTTTTCGTCCGCCACTGCGGTCTAATGCGCCACGCAAAAAACGCACAACCTTATAATGAAAATCTGGTTCGGTTGCTGAAGTTGTTGCAGGTTTTTTTTTTACAGATCCTAAAAATTAATTTAAGACTTTTATTTACCTATCCAACAGGAAAACAAATTATATTTTTTAATGTAATTTCAGTAATATTTAGAATTTTTTTTAAAGCTATTGATTAACAAACTTTATTTATCTTATTTATTAACAAATTTTTTTTATCTGAATAAATAAATTTTATTTATTTTTTAACTATTTATTAACAAATAGGTTAGTAGTTACTAATTTAATTTAATTAGACACAAGTAATTATTAAATCAGAGTAATAAGCCCCTCCAAAAAAAATTACTTTCAAGCAAGTGTAAGTTTTTAAGACTTTGTTTTACAAAGTTACTATTGTAATCATTTCTGGTAATACCAGTCCAGTTAAGTTTACAGTGGAGGTTATTCGTGATTTACGCAAAGGACATTTTCCGGACAGCCTCCTTTAAAGTCTGGCCTCCTTTACTTACCACAGCTATTATCTATAAAAAAACACAGAAAAAGCATCAGTAATATAAATACTGAAGAATAGGAAAAAAGAAAAAAAAAAAAGATATCAAGTTAAGGCCATTAAATATTGCATAACATTTATTAAAACACTTATCAATGTTAACTTGAATTGATTAATAGTCATCAGTGTTGACTTGAATTGATATACAATCCTTTTTCTTAAAAAACTTGAAATATTACTTAAAATACCTTGTCTAATGTCAAAATGAAAACACGGTCCTGTCAAAATGAAAACAGGTACCAAAGACTTTGTTTGTTGTAGAGTGCGTGGGATCCTTTGGCAATTCAGAAAACAATTTACTTAAAATTGTTAACATGCTTATGCTGCATCGGTTATAGCAGACTTAACTGCCAACTGCATCAAATCATTTAGTTCTTCATCGTTATCATCATCACTTGTTTCAGAATCTGATGACTCTAATGGGCAATATTCAAAATCAGAAATTTTTAGATTACTGTCAGATTTCACTTCACAATCAATATTATTTGCACCTAAGGGAATAGCACTCTCTTTTAAAAGTTTTTGATCTGATATACTTTTTAAATACAATAATTGTACTTCTTCTGGTGAATGTGAAATATTGCTTGATTCATTGGTAAGATCTTTTAGGCAAGACTCAACATCAGCTAATATTTTTCGCCATTTTGTCCAAAAGCTCACTATTGTTTTATTTACCAATTGTTTTATTTACTAAAGCTGATATAAATTTAATAAAAGTATAATATATATATATATATATATATATATAAATATATATATATATATATATATATATATATATATATATATATATATATATATATATATATACATATATATATATATATACACAGTCAACTCTCGATATCTCGAATACTTGATATCGAACTTTTGAGTATCTCGAACATTTTTAGCGGTCCCATAGACATAACTAGTTTAGGGTAAAATCCTCTCGATATCTCGAACCTTAATATCTCGAACAATATTTTCGGTTCACAGGGCAATTTTCTCTCGTTATCTCGGACTTTTCAACATTTTTTTCAAAAATGTTTTAATAAGATTTAATTTTTTTTTAAATTCCAATTTTCGAAAAAACAAAATTTTAATTTGATTTTTAAATTCGATTTTTTTAAGAACCGAATTTCTGAACAGTTTTCCTTATATATATTAGTTTATTCTTTTTGTCAAACGCAACAACATGCCGCTTGTTAAAGGAAAACTCACGAACAAATCTATAATAGAAAAATGCAAGACGTTAAAAGACCTAGAGACAAGAATGTCTAACAAAGAGGTTCCCAAAAAGTATGGAGTCGTAAAGAACACATTATCAACCTGGATTAAAAATAAAACCAAGTTTTCAACCTCACTGGAAAAAAATGGCACAAAATTTAAACAGAAGAAACTTCGTAGTGGTAATTTCAAAAATGTAGACAAGGCCATATACACGTGGTTCGTTGCAAAAAGAAGTCAACAAGTACCAATTGATGGTACCATACTAAAAGAAAAGGAACTAAAATTTGCAGAAGCATTAGGAGAGTTGAATTTTAAAGCATCTGATTTTTGGTTTCATGATTGGAAAGAAAGGTTAGCTAAATTTAGTCAAATCTTGTTCAATTTTAATATAAACAAATAACATGTATCTGTTTATATTTAATTTATTTAGTTTTTAAACGTGTAATTAAAATTAAATTATTCTGTTCCTTTTTTTAGGAACGGCATCAGCTTTAAAATAATCTCAGGCAAAAGTGCCGCCGTGACGAATAATATGACTGCTTTGTGGAATGAAACTACACTTCCAACATTGCTTTTGAATTACAATCTTAAAAATATTTTCAATGCCGATGAGTTTGGACTATTTTAACAGTGCCTACCAAACAAAACATACTATTTATCACGAGAAAAATGTTTTGGGGGAAAAAATAGTAAAGTCAGACTAAAAGCCATAGCAGCAGGGAGTGCAACGGGAGAAAAATTACCTATGTTTGTTATTGGAAAATCCAAAAACCCACGGTGTTTTAAGCACATTAAACAACTTCCTTGCACATATAAAAATCAGCTAAAGCTCATTATCGTCACAAAATTGTGCGTTTGTGTATCAAGGCTGTCGATAATAACAAACCCATGCCAAAACTTTCTATACTTCAAGCAATGAAAGATCTTGTTTCTTCGTGGAATGCTGTGTCAAAGGAGACTGGTATCAGCAAAACAAACAAAAGTATTGAAGAAGCTGATGATGATCATCCTTTTAAATTTTTGACAGAAGAACTTAACCGTTTGCGAGAGTTAGATCCTCGTGCCGTCCAAGAAGATCTCTCAGCGGAATCTTATATTGGTTCAGATTGCGATGTAGTAACCACCGGTTCACTTGCTACTGATGCTGAAATCATTGCTCAGATTTTAGACCCTAATTTTGAAAACGACGATAATGAAGTTGGAGATAGCGTTAACGAAGCTATTGACGTCGAAACCCCGCCACGCCCATCTGATATTCAAATAGAAATTGTTATTGAAACGATTCAAAATGTTTCGCTATACAGCTCAAAATACGAAAATGAAATACAATCCCTAGCACTAAAACTTGAGGATTTAATAAAGATGGAAAAGATGAATTATTTAAAACAATATCAGATAACAGATTTTTTCCAAAAGTTGTAAAGTAGTTTTTGTTGTTAATGGTTTTTGTCAGAAAAATAATTTGTTTAAATGAAAGTCGGGCAATTTTATTTATTTTCAACCTTTTTCTTGATATCTCGAATTTTTTTTCCAATATTTATATATATATATATATATATATATATATATATATATATATATATATATATATATAACTTTATATTAGTATAACATTGTTCTTGTTATATTAAAATTTATATGACTAGTCATGTAACTTTCAATATAACAAAAACATGTTATACTAATATGATAATAACATTGTTACATAACTGTAACAATATTGTTAAAGTTATATATGTTTAAAATAAAATCAAATTAGTATTATTAATTTTGAGTCTTATAAATATATATTGAATATATATTATATATATATATATATATATATATATATATATATATATATATATATATATATATATATATCGAACATCGCATTAGCAATAAATTTGTAAAAATTTTAATAAAAATCACAATGTTTTTTATTCTTGACATGTTTCGTAGTCTTACTACATTTTAAAAAAATTTAACTTACAATTAAAACTCTGGTAAAAAATTTAAAAACTGAAGAGAATACAGAGAAAAAATTAACGGACAAATAAACTTGTTTTTTTTTTTTTTTTTTTTACATCTTCACTTCCGACAAAGCTGCAAGCAACCACTATAAGAGTTGGAAATTACTGGAAGAGAAAAGACTAAATCTGTAGAGCAAGATAACGATTGACTGATGACTTAAAAGATTGCAAATTATATGAATCAGGAAAGCAAGATGAAGGAAGCGAATTCCAAAGAACTGATGTTCGAGGAAAAAAACTAGAAGAATAAGAGTTTTTGAAGCACTTAGGAACAGTCACAGAAAAAGGATAAGACTTAATTGAATGGCGAGTAACACGAGAGTGAATTTTAGTACATGGCACAAGGGACGCTAGCTCTTTAGAGCAGTGCCCATTATAGTATTTGTAGAAAAGAGAAAGAGAAGCAACATTACGACGATGTGACAAAGGTTGGAGATTGGCTGCCAGAGCAGGTCCAACTATGTTTACAATTCGTTTTTGCACCTTGTCTAAAAGAGAAAGAGCATCACTAGAAGATCCGCCCCAGATGTGGCAACAGTATTCCATACAGGGACGGATTTGAGATTTATAGAGATAGAGAATAGAATCTGGAGTAAGAAAGTGTCGAGCTCGATAAAGAGATGCAACCTTAGCAGATGCTAATTTTGAAATGGATTTGATATACGGTTTAAAAGAAAGATCAGAAGTAAGAGTTAATCATAGAAGATGAATGGTAGATGACTCATCTAGTACATTACCATTCATAAATATAGGAAGATCTAAATTATTACGATAACGATTGGCCGAATAAAATTGAGTTTTATCTGAATTAAAGTTCACCAGCCACTGTGAGCCCCATGCTGTAGCAGAAGTGAGATCCTTTTCAAGCTCAGATACCCCCTCCAAGCAATCAGAGAGTGTAGGCTTCTTATCATGACAAGAGTAAATGGTAGTGTCGTCAGCGAATAATGCCACCTTAGATGTGAGAATATCTGAAAGATCGTTAATGTAAATTAAAAAGAGTATAGGGCCAAGGATTGAACCTTGAGGAACCCCTGAAGTTACAGGATGTGAAGAAGAGTGTTTTCCATCGAGGACAACGTTTATACTACGATTGGAAAGAAAGGACTCAATAATCTTAAAGACGTTACCAGCTACACCATAAGAAGAAAGCTTATGGAGAAGACCAGCATGCCAAACTTTATCAAAAGCTTTAGAAATGTCAAGTGCGATAGCCTTAACCTCTCCACCTCTATCTAATGCACGGTAAAACCTATCGGTTATTACTGTTAGCACATCAGCTGTAGAACGAGAAGACCGAAATCCATATTGATGATCAGAAAGTAAGTTATTTGATTCAAGATGAGAGATTAAGTGTTTGTTTATTAAAGATTCAAAAACCTTGCTTATGACAGGAAGAAGACTAATGGGGCGGTAGTTAGATGAATCAGATCGCTCTCCGGGATTTTTGAAAATAGGAATAACAGATGCTGCTTTCCAGCATGATGGAAAACAAGACTCTGATAAGCACTTTTTAAATAGTTTAGAAAGTATGGATGAAAGCTCCGGAGAACACCTCTGCAAGACTGCAACAGGAATGTTGTCAGGACGACAAGCTGTTGAAGAGTCTAAGCAGGAAATTACTTTAGATACAGAAGCTGAAGTGATGCGAATGTCAAGCAAGGGATCAACCTGTTTGACGGCTATGTCAGGTAAAACGCAACTAGTGGAATCAAGAGATGATATTGATGAAAAGTTCTTTGCAAACAATTCAGCTTTGTCTTTAGGTGAGGTGACAAAGTCTGAAACATACAAGAGAGAAGGAATAACAGATTTGCCCTTATTATTGATAGATTCTCCAGAAGTCTCAAGAGCCTAATTTTTGTGATGAGATACGAGATTTAATGACCTGGGAATAGCGAGCTTTGGCATCAGGTAAAACCTTTTTACAATGGTTTCTGGCGATAGTGAACAGATGTCTGTTTTCTGGAGAATTGTTTTGATGATAGATATGGAAGTAACGGTTTCGATTAGAAATTGCTGCAGCGCAATGTAAGGAAAACCAAGGAGAAGAGTGAGGCTTGACCTGGAATCGTCGAGAGGGAATAAAAGATTCCATGCTAGCCTGAATCCACGAAATTATGTAAGAAGCACATTTGTCAGCAGGAAGACGAAAGATTTCTACCCAAGGGCCATCACGAAGAAAATCACGGAAAGAGTCCTAGTTAGCTTTAAGGTAGTTGTATGTGGTACGATGATAGGGGGATTCTGATGAAGTAGAAGAATTTGATAATAGTTTTAGAGAGATCAAACCGTGATCAGAAGTACCTAAAGGTGAATGTGGAGAAATTGAGCACTGACTAGGATCCAAAACAAGACATAAGTCGAGTAGAGAATGTAAATGATTAGGGTTGTCTGGAAAACGAGTTGGAAAGTTGACTATTTGAGTTAGAGATTGAGAAAGGCAAAAGTTGAGGGCCTTAACGCCAGCAGAGTCACTGACACTAGAGCCAAGCCAATCGGTGTGATGGGCATTAAAGTCACCAACAACGACGATATTTGCAGATGGATAAAGAGAGAGGGCTTGGTCAATTTGATCAGAAATAACATCAAGAATAGTGCAATCTTGGGATGAAGGAGAGCAATATAGAATAAAGAGAAAGGCGATAGAGTGAAGTTGTGCTAAACGAAAGAACATAAATGAATAGTCTGGAGATTCAAACCTAGTTTCATGACAAATGGGTGAGTTGTTACGAATGTAGATGCCCAGGCCAAGCATGTGATTATTGGAGTCTTTACGAATTAAAGGAAGATAACCATCAACACTAAGATCACAAGATGGGACAGCCGAACTCAAATTAGTCTCACAAAGAGCAAGTAGGTCTGGTGAACTTTGCAAGAGATAAGACTCAACAGAAGAAAAGTTACTTCGAAGATCACGAATATTAGTAAATGATCTTGGTGATGACGATGGTTTTTTGTGTTTATTAGTTTTAGGTACTTTAGTCATTTTAAATTTATAAAGAACTTGACTCAAGTATAGATAGTACTCAGTACACTATTTAACAACTAAGCAATAGCCTCATTACTATTAATAAACCCTAAGCCGTAGCAAAGGGCTCCAAATGTGGCCTCTGCAATGCACACCAAAAGTACAAACAGGGACACTATCCATGCGCAACATGGCACTGTTAGTACTCTGATATTTTTCGGCTGTTGATGGAATCAGCCTCTCTGAGAGCTACCACAGAGTTCGGGAAACCTGACTACCAGCCGGCCTCAGAACCATAAAACTGAGTTTTAGAGCTGTACCCTCATTAGGAGATAATAGAATGAGTTGCCCAGTCATAAAAATAGAGACACAAGCAATACCCACGCATTGAGTCAAGAAGATCCAGCGTTCAACATCCTAAACTGGAAACAATGTATTAAAAATACATCTGCGCCAGCCAAATAGATGTGGAAGGGGTGCGAGGCTGGTCAACCGATACAATCTGTTTACCCCTTAAGTCTTTGCCTAGGAGGCCTTCTGCAAGACAGCAGCTGGATGCATGTAACATCTGCCCAAGATGAGTATTTTTATCGAGACACCATCTCTAGCCTTTACTCAACCAAGAGCCCCAAGGCAGGGGGTGTTTTAATTCGTAGTTAACTTCTCCTAGCCTTTGCCTAAAAAAGCGTATCCTACAAGGCAGCAGGACATGGAGCAGGTTGTACTGGGTTACATGTTACCAGTAGCAGGAAAACCTGAACTGACCTTAATTTTCTAAAACAAATCATTTTGGGAAAAAAACTGTTTGGTGTTGCTCGTTTTTAATCAACAATGCTAATTTTGAACGAAAAATAAAATAGCACCACATACTCTTTTGTAGTAAAATACTCTGATAACAGTAAAAATAATTGTGAAAATAGCAAGCGTTAGATTTTACAAACAATTTACAAACCAATTACAAACCAATTAATAAACAAATACAATTAATAAACAAATTACAATTAATATACAAATTACAATTAATAAACAAATACAATTAATAAACAAATTACAAACCAATTAATAAACAAATACAAACCAATTACAAACCAATTAAAAATTATATTACAAATTATGTCAAAATGAACTTCCTAATATTAAAATATTAATAATAATAATAATATTATACCACTTTTGACTCATTTTCTCATTTCTTATTTAACGGAAAATTTTATGATCAATTAGATGGCGTTGCAATAGGTTCTCCTTTAGCGCCAATTTTAGCTAATATGTATATCGGTTTTCATGAACATACGTGGGTTAATAATTGCTCATCCTCCATTCCGATTTTTTATAAACGTTATGTGAATGACATAATAGTAATTTTTAATTCAGAGTTTGAAGCGCAAGAATTCTTTAAACATCTCAATAAACAACACAAAAACTTAAGAAATACTATGGAAGAAGAAAAAGACAACCAA